CGATAACGATCGAGAATAGGCAATCGTGCAAATTTAACTTTTATCTTCTAACTTCTTCAAGGTTTATTGGTTACATTTTTTTTTTTACATTCTGCTTTAGAAAAATATATTTAGCAAATTCGTTTACTTATTCGTTTTATTTCTTTATTTTATGTTACAATTGTTCCACAACTTCAATATAAAAAAAGAAATAAATAAACGAATTTCATCGAAACTTCACCGTCAATCCCAATTAAAAAAGTTTAGCTTCAACAACTTTTTCGACTTTCCCTCCAACCAAAAGAAATATCAATTTCTACGTTCTCGAAAGTTCAAAAATCTTTCATCCAACTTCTACACAAATCGACAAGAGAGAAAGAAAAAGAATATGATTGGTTTCTCGAACAGAGGAAAGAAAACCGAAGAATCCGTTCTTCCGACGAAAGTCTTGGGACCAAGTCTACCGTGAAGGCGATTCCGGCTCTTCTTAAAGCTCAACCCTCCTCCCTTACCGTTCACTTTCCCTTCCCGTTTCGCTCGCCCAACCGACCCTCGCCGTTAGGTTAATGGAACGCATTGCCGCAAACGACGGGAAAGTTAAGGCCGTTTCCGATTGCAAATGGACCGAAGGCAAATCGCACCGGTGACGACGATTCGTCCAATTCGAGGGAGATGATCTCGAGACACGCAGGTACGCGCAGGAAAAAAGATATTCTATTCGTGGTAACGATATTCGAAAGATCTGGAACACGATCTGTTCCACTCGTTTATTCGATTCGTGATTATTTCGTGACGAGTATTTTTTATATTTCGTCCCTGTGTGGAAATAACATGGAAATGGAATGTTCGAGGTGAAAGTCGGTTGTTCTTGGCGAAAGAAAGGGACAGTGGAAGGAGGGGAGGGATTGTCGAAGATTCAACCTGTTGCCAAGATGTGTAGGTGGAAATTGGAGAAATCGAGAGGGAAACGAGATCTGGAATTCGGTTACCCTTCTTCCTCGTTTCGAACGATCTTTTCAGGTATATTTGTTCCTACGATGTCTATTTAGGGTCTCTTAATTCTTTATTTCTTTTTATTATCGCTGATAATAATATTTATAGCGTTATTAAGATAGAAATTTGAATCTTATTGAGAAATAAATATTGTAATGGATTTTTGTTTCGATCTTGTGATTTTTAGATTTTAGGCCCATTCGTTTCATTTTTCGCTCGAAATAATTCAAACGAAGCCAATCTTCGATATCCGTTTCGTAGTTTCGTTTTCAATTAATCCGTTCCGCGCTTTCCTTCTCAAAGGGAGAATATTTCCCTCGTCTCTTAGAGAAGAGAAATATTCGAGTTTAGAAGTGACATTCCGAGAGCTCTTCCAACAGGAAACGGAAGAGAATTCAAAGGAGGAGGTGCAACGCGGTATTTATCTTCGAATAAAATATCGGAGCCAGAGGAAGCTCTCTCTAGGCGAGAAGCAGAGACGAAACCTTTCTTGTCGCCTTGGAATGAAACCCTCCTCGTTATTGCTTGTTTATTCCGTTGTTTCGCGCGCCATGAATGAGGGGAGGCGAAGAAATGCGTTTCCAACGTGTAAAATGCATTTCGCCTTCGTGAAATGGCCACCAGATATTTTTTCGTTTCTCATTTTTCGAAACTAGATATATTTTCTTTTTTAATTACACAAGAATTGATAAAAAACTTGAAAACTTTGAATTTTCCAACGATTTTATATGATTTTGTAAGTACAAATTGATATATTAATTTTAATTTTATGGAAAATTAAAATACATGGAAAAATGGAAACGAGAATTAATTGAATCGCGCAATGTCCGCTCCATTTCCGGAAGCAATTCTAAGAAAAGAGAAAGTTAACAAGAAAAACGAAATTTTCCACGGGAAACTGTGCACGTAATTGGCAATATCGTTGCATTAGCATTTCGCTAAAAATTCAGACGGGGCAATGTCAACCGGGATTGTTCTCTCAAGGGCCTCCTAAGCTCTCTCACCTGTTCTCCCTTTCAATTCACTTTCACGGGTCGTTAGTTCGCGAAAAACGTTCGCCCTAGTCTTTCTTACACATTTTTCCTTTTTATAAAAATCTAACAATGGTAGATAATATATATATACCATGTTAATGTTTTTCTATCATTTTGTACAGTGAAAAAGTTATTTGAAATTTTTCTAATCAATAATTTATTTTATCGCTGTATTGTATAAAATTAAACAGCTAATTTAATCGTGAAATTTACACTCTCCATTATTGCATTCATTTGCATTCACACAAATCAAATTCAATCAACAATTATCGATTAAGTATGCAACAATATGTGCCAAACTATACCAATTATAATTGCTATTTCTATTCATGATCGTTATATTATTTCGATTAAACGATGTATAATAGATTCTGGAATATTTTACAAATATCAGAGGGTGTAAGTTTAATGAAGAAACGGAAGAATTATTATCGAATAATATAATCGGATCTGACCCCTCGCAATCTCCACCCCTAAACAATTTTATCTCCTGTATTCGTTACAAATAATAGGCTATTTCCTCGACAACCACTTGGAACATGGTACGCGTGTTGCTCGAGTGGCGTTGAAACGAGTTTCGGCAACCCTTTCCTCCGACTTATCGAACGGTACGCGCCATGTGGCGCGAAACAACAACGTTTGAAAATTGTAGGACAACACATCGAGAATCTGAACGATGAAACTTGACGAGAGAAGGAAGAGAAAGATGGAAGAGAGGCGTAATAATCAACCTTTTGACAATGGAGAATTAAATAACGGAGAAAAAGGAAAAGAATGCCATTTCTTTTCCTCGAGGGAGGATTAAATATCCGAGAGAAAGTTTGAAACGTGAAATTATCTCGAAAAGCGATGCGAGGAAAGTTTGAAGGGATTTGGACATTGGGTGAAAATTGTCCTAAGAATTTTTCACGTTCCAACGCCACGAAGGCTGGGCAAAAATTCAAATAACTCCGATGAAATTTCCCTTCAAGTTGTGCGGGTAACTCTCTTCCCAACAGTTACCAGAGAACACCTTTTTAAACTTCTTCCTCTTTCTTATATTTACAAGAACAGGATAAAAGACCCGGAGACGAATAGGCGGAAAGGATAATCGGAGAGATACGAAAGAAAAAAGAAAAAAAATAAAATAAAATAAAATGTTTCGACTGTGAAACTTGGTCCGGAAATGACTTCATGAAATCTCATACTTTTGCTTTAACTTTTCTCTCTTTGAATAAGATTTTTATTCCCCCGTTACATTTACGATTTCTCTGGATCTCAGATCCTCCGAAAAACAATCCTTCCTTTAAAAACTTGATCGAATTTCCACACTTGAACGGCGACCAATGTTTTTCTTTTCTAGAGAAATCTTCGAAACGAATATTCTCATTTCTTCGATCAATCGTAAGAAAAACAACCGACTTCCAAACTTCGAAAAATTTACACTTCGTTCGATCGATCGCCTGGGACAAAAAGTGGTGGAAAGCATCGATAGGAAATAAATAATTTTAACGCGTCTGGATCAGTCTCCAGCGTAGGAAAAATCGCGTATAATAAATCATGCTAGATTACTCTCGGTCGGTGTATTTCCGAATTTTTCCACTCGTTACCCCCGTTTGTTTTTGTCACGATGGTTTATAGGGGAGGAGGGGGAAGGGTTGGGCACGTCAGAAACAGGGCGAACGAGATCCCGTCGTGCATCATTCCGCTTCAGACGGAGCAATTTCGACCACAATTTCGAATGTGAGCAACTCGGAGGACCGCGAACGGATTAAAAGGGAGTGTAAAGGATTATCTGGGATCTAGTTGAGAATTTATGCGTCTTCGTAAGACGCTGCTTCTCCATAGCGTTTGCCCCGGAAATCGTAAAGGATTTCGCCAGGATCTTGCTTGCGAGTTTGTTGCTCGTTCGCAATTTTCGCGTCTTCTCCTTTTCGGTTTAAAAGAGTTTCGAAAGTTTCGAGAGAGAACGAACACGATTATGACTTCGAATCCAGTTTGTGATATTTTGAATTTTAATTGTAACGTATCGATTTTTTTTTTTTTTTTTTTTTTT